GCACCTGGGCGCCCTTGCCATGCCGCTGTGCCCACGCCGTCTCCATTCGGATGACGGCTTCGCTGCTGACGAGCTTCTCATGCTCAAGGAATGCCACCATCTCCTCGACGGACTGCATCATGGTGGGGCAGCGGGCGAGGTCGAAGTCGCCGTGGGGGTAGAGGCCGATCCACTGCATCTCGACAAAGACCATCGGGCGCAGCGGCGATGGGGCCTCACGCTTCTTGAAGAAAATGCCCCAGCTGATCCACTGGCAGAGGGGCGACGACTGGAACCACAGCGACATCAGCAGGGGGAAATAATAAATCACGCCCAAACCGAAGCCTATCAAAAGGTCAGACACGTCAGGAAGGCCGCTCTCGCTGCCGGTTGTTCTCGCCATCTTGCTTACCGTGCACGAGCAGTACAGGCGGGGGATCCATCGTCTTGCCGGCGGCCTTGTCGGCGGCTGACCGCGGGTCGTAGACGAAATACTCCATCATGTAGTCGCCACGGGGGGACCGTAGTCGCCACCCGACAGCCTGCAGCACCAAACGGCACGTCAGGCTCACCAGCCGCACCGCAAGCACCAGCACCAGAGGGCGGTAGAAGGCCTCCATCCGAGTCTCCCCGTACCTGTCATCAGACAAACAGACAGACCGACAAGTGAGCCAGGCAGGTCGTTGCGGAAGTGTGTGTGTGTGGCCATCCATGTGTACCGGAAGCCGTGTGTGCGGGGGCAGTAGTTGTGTGGCGTGATATCGGGGATCTCCCGCACGTGGTCGGGGAACTTGAAGCCCAGCTTGGCCTCCACCGCCGGGATGATGTCCTTGGTGTGCTTGACGTCGCGCGGGGTGTGGCAATCGAACCAATCCACCAACTGCTGCACCGATATGGTCTCCGGCGCTTGGCCAAAAAACGCGTAGAAGAGAAAACTGCACACACACCCAGAGCGAGAGAAGGCATGAAGGAAGACCTAGCACAAGACGGCACCGTGAGTCGAGTCGGCGCACCTGTAGAGGTCCTCAGGCGGCTGGTCGAGCAGTTGCTTCTCCAGGTACGGCCTGAAGTGTTCGTCCAGGTGGGGGGAGCGGTAGTGCTCCATCTCCTGCAGATCTCTCCGCCGCTGGCGGAATCGCAGGTACGCCCGCACATCGAGCGCCAAATAGACGCCGACAAGCATGAGGGTCGAGCCAGGGATGAACAGGGCCGCCACAAGGCCGCCCGCAGCACACCCCAGCGCCAACACAGGGAGAAGGAGCTTCAGGGAGGGCAGGAGGTGCTTCCACAGATTCCACAGATTCAGGGAGCCGAAGCGCGTCGTCCGGCGGTTCGCCTCGGCCTCGTCGAAGGCACGCAGGCGCTCGCACACGTGGCACATCTTCCTTGGTTGGTCAAGGCAGTGGGATCATCCCGCGGGATGCGATACTGCTGGGAGTGGAGAGATCTGGACAGCCTGCGCTCAGGCAACCCACAACCCAAACCCTAAAAGGAAGGGGGTAAGCTCGCAAGAAGGGAAATCGCCCGTCGTGGAACTGCGACACTCTCACCATCGGCTGGCGATGCCATGGATCCATCTGGAGAAGAGGGCAGCGACATCAGATTCCCACAGCAGGAAACAATGGAAGCTTTGGGGGAGGAGAATGACACCGATTCGGAGCATAGATAAGGGGGCAGCTGAGGAGTGCGTCCCGACGGCAGCAGAGCAGGCCCATGAGCGCATTCCGCCCTATCGGTCCATGCTCTCCACTTCCACAGCACACACGACAACGGCGATTGCCATTGACGACTACAGCAAGGGATGTTTCGCTTCAGAGGGCGGTGGAGAGGGCGCCCCTGACGTCACGCATGGTCGCGAGGAGAAGGCGATAGCTGCCTCAGTGGTTGAGTACGTGAGGGGACATATCACAAGACGGCCAACTCTACGAGTGCATGTGATTGTCTCACTGCAGGTTCAGAAATGCTGCCGGATACGAAGCTAACTTCGAGGAGTTTCCGACCACGTTAG